TGGACTAGCATTCCACCTAACTACAGAGAACAGATTCCTTTACAGATAGTGCACTACAAAATGTGTAAACGTGCAATTGTTCCCTCAAAGAACAATTTACCTGATCTGACCTTTAAAAATAACATTCCATTAAATATTTGATATAAAAAATTAAACCATTATTGCTGTTCACTATTGTAGATTAAAAATTATTTATAGTAAATTCATTTAGCTGTGAGCGTGGTTAGTGGGACTTGCCATAGTCACTTTTATAGTAATTTTATTAAAACCACTAATTCCTTAATACATCTCACCCAAACATTCCTGCTCATACTGACACTGAAACATATTCAGTTCTGCCTAGCAACCAAGCATCTGCCAAGCATTAGCAGTCATGACACATTCTTCATATACAGAATTTCATCTCAGTTCAAAATTTTAAATGGAGTGAAAGAACCATTTACTGCTGATAAGAACAGTCTTTTAATGCTTCAATTGAAGTCTTTAAAGGACATTCATCTAAAGAACATTCATAACTTCCATTCTGTTACATGATTACTGAGCTTATCATTCTTCATTGAAACGATGCCTGGTTTTGTGTCTTATATGCACATTGGCCTGAATCACATCAAAACAAGTACAGGGGCTATGTTTGTTCTGCACAATAAGTGCATTAAGTTCATTTTTATTCACTGAAAGAGTTAGTTATAGAAGATTACATAACTCAAATGCATTACAAAGAATGCACCAAAAACATGTTGGATTTGAGAACAGTTTAATTTTCACTGTATCAGATAAAATGATAAAACTGAGTTTTGCATGAATGAGAGACCATATGTGATCAGAACATTCCCTTCTTATATTTGTGGATTAACTCTGACACGTCCTCCTTACACACCTTGATCCAGCCATCCTTCTGCATGTGGTATAAACTAAAAAACATATATGAAAACTTAATCTCCTAAGTATGGTAAACAAATATAATATGCTACAGTATAATGAATTAAGAAGTCGATACAGAGGACAGAAATACAAATGTATTGTACAAATTACACTGACAAAAGTGAAATGACTGTCATTTATTTAAAGTACTTTTTATGTTCTAGTTGAAACTCAAGTTTCAGATTTAAACCTGTTTAGTTTAATTTGGCACTAAAAGCAAATAACAGAACAAATGAAAAGAAATATTTCCACTTGATACGAGAATGATGATGTGCAGAACACATACTGGCTAGTTTTGTTGACACATTTTAAAAAGACATCACAATAAACATTAAGGTCTTTCGAAAAGAATATTCCTGTCATGTATAGTAGCCTAAGTCAATTTATAACATTTAAGCACTGACTAACAAATTTAGTTTTATCTCAAATGAAAATTTTAATTATGGCTAATTTAGCTTTTGTTTATGGTGAAATTAAGTTGTAAAAGTCCAAAACTATATTTTACATTTAGGCATTTAGCAGACGCTTTTATCCAAAGCAACTTACAAATGTGGACAATAGAAGCAATCAAAACCAAGAGCAACACTATGTAAGTGCAAATGACAAGTCTCAGTTAGCCTAGCACACAGTACACGTAGCAAGGTTTTTTTTTATAATAGACAAAAAGAAAACAAGTAAATAGAATAGAAAAAGAATAGAGAACGTTAGTGTTAGAGGGTCTCTTTTTTATAATGAATAAAAAGAAACAAGTAGATAGAATGGAAAAAAATAGAGAATGTTAGTATTAGAGGTTTTTTTTTGTTACAAAGAAAGAAAAGTTGAAAGAATAGAAAAAGAATTAAGAACGTTAATGTTAGAGGATAATTTTTAAATAAAAAGAAAACAAGTACATAGAATTTAAAAATAATAGATTTTAAGATATTTTAGATTAATAGAATTTTAACCTACATTATACAGTAAGTAACATATTGGTTTGCCTTGTGTCTAAGGAAAATATATTGAGTAAGGTACACTGGGGAAAAAATTGACTGCCCAGTTTACTAAGTTATATTATTTGTGATCTACAAAAGAAAATTGTGTTTCTCTTCTAAACTTAATTTGTTTGCTTTCGATTAATGTATTTCTCTTAATGTGCAATCTAATCTGCGAGGTTATATTTTGTAGGGCAAATGTGAATCAATCAATTGGTCAAAAATTGATTTTGAGTTCCAAGCATGCTTTGCATGGGACCTATAGGGAGAGTAAAAATGCTAAAATTAAGAATTATTTTTTGTGAAAATTAAGAAAAATTAAATTTTTTTTAATAGACTTGATGGTGTCAAGCACGGGGCCCTGTGCGACCGCACCAGTTGCACCCCCCTAAGGACGGCACTGATGTCCGAGGCACTCGTAGAAGGAGCTAAATGAATGAATACATATGTGAAGACATAATCTCTTAAATATAACACACAAACACTATATGCAACAATTATATATATATACACTATATGTACAAATAGTGTACATTCACGAATTAAAAAAATAATGATGTAGGACAGAAATACAAAGTTATTGTTGGGTACATATTCACACTTTTACATTTTTATTTTAATGTTAAAGATGGGTTCAGTCTCAGATTTAGCCAGTTTGTAATACACTGCTGTACTTACGGTTGATCACACCACCAGAGTAAGCGTCTCTGTGTGTGGCATGAGCAATACCACGACGACCCAGCTCATACGCCTCCTCCACAGTCATATCCTCACGATAACCACTGTCCACGACACCATACGCATAATACCACGACGACCCAGCTCATACGCCTCCTCCACAGTCATATCCTCACGATAACCACTGTCCACGACACCATACGCATAACTGTTCCCACAGCCAGTGGAGAACATCCGGCCGGAGAGACGAGTGCCATTATCATCCACATAGTACAGACCTGGACCCTGATGTGAGGGAAAAGAGGTAACAAGAATGTAACTGAAGATTATGTGTATGCATGGTTGTTATACCTGAAGATTATGAGATCTTACGAAGAGCATTACAATAATAATATTATTTTATTGTTTTAATATTATTGTATAATACTGTATGCTTTGACTGAGAGCACCCTGAAAATATGCAAATAACAAAAAAAACACAAAACATATCACCTGCTTGTCCCAGCCGCAGATCATACTCCCCATAGACAGACCCATGCCTCTGTATCCCAGCATCATGTTGGACAGCAGTTTGGAGGCTGCAGACACTGAGATCCTCTGCTTGTTACGCAGTTTGTAAAGCCTGTTTTTAAAACACATAAATACTTGTATATTAATATGTATATTAATATACTAATAAAAAATAGCAATAAATATAGGAAAATAACAGGCTTTTGCATGCTTGAATTTCTTAAAATATAACAGTAATGGAGGAAAAATGCATTTTCAATTCCCAGGGAACTATGGTCATTAAATATTTGGTGCATGAGTATATTCAAAGAAGAAAGACAACAGATAGATGGATAGTATTCTTCTTAAAGTGATACTTCACCCCAAAATGAAAAGTTATAATTTACCATCATTTACTCATCTTGTTCTAAACTCATATGACATGACTGCTTTTTGTAATGAACAGATCAAAATTTAAGCCTTTATTTACTCTCAAATAGTCAAATCAAAACATTTACAGACTACATTGAATATAGTCCTCAGATATTGCTAAAAGTTTTGGGACACCCCCTTCCAATGAACAGGTTTGACTAATTTAGTAATTTCGATGAATACAAATCTTAATGTTTAAGCATGTTATGATATTCTAGGGAATTGTGTGCTTCTAATTTTATACCAATAGTTTGAACAGAACCCTTTTCTATTCTAACATGACAATGCCTCTGTGTATAAGGCAAGGAAAAAAAAAAGATTGATTCAGTCAGTGTGAAAGAACTTGACTGGTCTGCATAAAGCCAAGTCCTAATCCCAGCTGAACACCTCTGCTGTGACTTTAAATGCAGAAAATAACAATTTTCTTTCACAACACCCATTCACTGACATTATAAAGCTTGGAAGAGCCAGCACATTTATTAATATAACTCCAATTGGATTTGTCTGAAAGAAAAAACTCATATACACCTAGGATGTCTTGAGGGTGAGTAAATAATGCGGTTATTTTCATTTTTGGGTGAACTACCCCTTAAAATGTTTAGGTTTTTTAAAGTTTTTGTTTCTTCACACTTTCTCTTCATCTTTTTGGTTTATTCATTCATGGACATTTGTTCATTTTAAGATGTACAAAGCAAGAAATTGTATACATTTCAAATGTATATATTTCTCTTCACCGACAAAGAAGAAAACAAGAATGCCAATGAGTGATTTGTAGGATTTGTGAGTTTTATTTACTTTTGATATCAGTACTTACCCTGAACCCGAAATCCAGTTGATTCAGACAAGCTAAATCTCGCTTTTGACTTAAAACCAGTTTGTTTAGATAAAGACGAAAAAACATTTTCATAGTGTGGTGCTCATTTCATTTCATTAGTGTGTGTTGCTTGGTTTGGCAAATCTATTTCACTAAATTACAAGATGTTTTTTGGAACTACATAAATATTACATTTTGACCTTCCAAATGCTATTAGAGGTTTGCTATTGTAGATTAAATATAATGTACTTTGCTACACACACACACACCAAACAGAGCTAAATATAACAAATAGCAACTTTTTTATTAAATAAAATACCTGTATTTTGCAGTTAGTGAAATATCACCCTTTATGTATATTTATGCAAGTATGCATTTTCTTTGTACTCTGCACTTTCTGTTCAAACCTGGTACATTTCCTCCATTTCCTTTCTGATATCATACCTGTTGATATACAGTATTCATCATGTTTAGACCATGGTTGCACAATAAAGCAACCTAAATACAGGGGCCATATTTGACCTGCAAAATAAAGTTATTTTTTGGTTTTGTTTGAGCTAGTTTCAGAAAATACCATTCAAATATTACAAAGAATGCAGCAATATGGTCTTTAGTTTGAGAAGATTAATTAATAAAACAGTGACTTTGAATGGGAGACAGTCAGATTTGTGACATATATATATTCTCTATATTTTATCTGTTTTTAACACAAAGTAAAAAAAAAAGAATACATCTGCTGCCCGATCCCCCCTCCAGGGACTTCAAGAGTTAAGAGACAGAAAGGCAGGTAACATCCTAATGATTTAACAAACAGGTCATTAATTATTTGAAGCTCTACATTAATTAGTATATCTGTAAACAATTAAGTTTACATCAATCAATTTGTTAATCAAAGTTTAGAGTCAAGAGTCTTTCAGTATTTTAAATACAACGAATTTACATTTTACATTACAAATATAATTTTTTTTTTCCAGCATTTTCTACAACTGACATTAAAATCTTTGAATAAAAAAAAAAATGTGCACAGCAAAACCAACCCAAACACATGTACAGCAGTCTAAAAATCTTAAAGACTGAAACACAATACATACAACTATTCTGAAAGGATTCTTTATGAGACCAGTTTCACTGCAGTCTATTCAGCCTTTAAAATCCCCTCCAGGTCCAGATTTACTTCTTCTACAGAAGAGACAAAGATATTCAATAAGCAAACAGACACTTATACCTGAAAACTAAAGATAGCATGAATGAAATTTAAGAGTGTTTTTTGCCGTTTAACGAAGAAGGTGATGTAATCTACCTTATCCTTTACATCTGTGTCACTGGAGTCTATATGAAAACAAAAATATATATATTTATAAATAAAACTCCATTACATTAAAATTCTTGGATTTTTAATACATTCCGGGGAATACCATACCACAAACACAATTTTAGTCTATATATACTGCAAAACAGTATGTTTTTTTGTTTTTTTTACTATAGAACGAATAATTCTAATGCAGTGATACTAGAAAAAAAAACAAAGATTGCAGTGATCAGACTGAACCAACTTACCAGAAGAGCTGAATGTCCAGGAAAGAAACTTTATCGTGCCGTAAAGAACAAGTGCAACAGCAACCATCGCCATCGAGTCCTCAATAGAAGGAGCACTGACACCTGATATGACAAAACATAATCAAGATTTGCAGAACAATCTGAATTACATATATATTCTTTTGGAAATGCAAATAGAACATGAACTGAAATCTAAAAAAAAAAAGCTGTTTCGGATGACTCACTCACAAAG